CCCGCTCTCTCCCACCCTCAGACAGAGCTGAACGGGTTCTGGAACTGGCACCCCCTCCCCACCTCGGGGACCCCCACCTCCTAGGGGCTCTCTCAGACCATGGTGAGGGAGCCGATGTTCAGCAGTCCGACCCCCACCCAAGCTGTCCCGCTGTGCTGAGGACCGGAGATCCGGGCAGCCGTCGGGTCTGTGCAAGGCTGGATACCTACGGTTCTTCTGGAAGGTCCAGGCAGCGGCTCACCCCGCGGAGGCCCCCCCGATCGTCGGGGAGGCGTGGGGACAGCACCCCCGCTCCGGTCAGCAGAGACCCCCGGCTCGACCTGGCTGCCATTGGGTCAACCGCAGTGCCCCCATCCCTGCACACGCATCTTGCACACGCACCTGCACACGCACCTGTACACGGACCTCACACACCCGTGCACACTCCCCTGCACACACTCGGCCCCCCTTGCCCCCGCTCCACAAGGAGAAATGTGGAAATGGCTCACAGGCGGCTCCAACGGGCAGCTGTTGCAGGATGCGGTCGCAGGACGACGATGCGGAGGAAGGATGCGGTTCCAGACGCTTCGCAGCCGGGGCGGGGCGGGGGAGGGGCCGAGCCGAGACCGAGGCTGCTGTTGCCTGGGAGACGCGGGCGGAGGGACCGGAGCACTTGCGTCTGCTGCCGCGGCTGTACTCCCACTGTGCCCACCCCCCCATCGGAGCTGTGCGGGGTGTGGGGGAGTATAGACTAAACACGCACACCCCTCACACTCCCACCGCCTCACTGCAGGGGAGCAGACACCCTGGCCAGCTGAGCCTAGGCTGCTCCTGGGCCTGGGGTATCGAGGCTGTCCCCCGCGACCTTGGTCAGGTGCTCAGACTGTCCTTCTTGCTCCCCTTGGCTTGGCCTTCACGCCCCCAGAGGAAGGCCTCCTCATGTCTCAGCGCCTGAAGCCCCTGGGCCGTCAGCTTTCCTAGGGTAAGCCTGTCCTTCTTGGTCACTGTTGTGCCCCAGCACCTGCACCTTGCCCCCATACAGAAGGTGCTCCCTGGGCGTTTGTCCAGCGATTGAGTGCGGGGGCTCAGCCCTGCTGGGGTCAGGCTCCACATCCCTGGCTCCCAGCTGGTGGAAGACAGCAAGGAAAAGAGCATGTTATCAGTGATTGGTCTCTTCCGCTGTTGAAGAAAATTTGAGTAAAGCCACGGTCTGGCTAGGCCCCCTTTGATCCGCTGATGGGCCCCTGGACTGTTTCCAGCTTTGTCTGTTGTAGACGGTGTTGCTGGGAACGTCATACTTGTATTTGTGTGGACATTGGCCTCACTTCTCTGGGTAGGTACCTAAGAGTGGGATTGCTATAGGTCAGACGGTAGCTTACGTTGAACTTTTTAAGAAAATGCTAACCTTTTCCCAAAGGGGCTGCACCGTTTTACATTCCCACCAGAACTGGACAAGGGTTCTACTCTCTCCACCTCCTGCCAACATTTGTTATTGTCTGTGTTTTTTCCAGAAGCCAAACAGCCACCTGTGGCCGTCAGGTAGGGCCACCATGACAGAGTGCCCCTTGGGCGGCTAAACCACAGGAATTGGGTTCCTTACGGTGCTGGAGGCTACAAGCCTGCTCCCAAGGGCAGGGCTGGTTTCCTTGGAGGCTTCTCTCCTTGGCTTGTGTTTCCAGATGGTCTTCCCTCCTTGCGCGTCTGTCTTCACCTCCTCTTCTTATAAGGACACTAATCAGAATGGATTAGGCTGACCCATATGACCTCTTTTTTTTTTTTTCAAGTTCATTTATTTAAGTAATCTCTACACCCAAATCAGGGCTTGAACTCAGGACTCCCAGATCAAGAGCTGCATGCTCCCCCAACTGAGCCAGTCAGGTGCGCCCCCTATGACCTCATTTTAACTTAATTATCTCTTTAAAGATCCCATATCCAAATACAGCCACATTGTGCTGAGGGTTAGAACTTCAACGTAAGAGTTTTGGGGGGAATGATTCTGCCCTAACACTGACCTAGTGGGCAGTAGTGATATTTCACTGTGTTTTGAAATCGAATCCCTAATAACTAATGATTCTAACTAAGCATCTCTTTATGGATTTATTAGCCTCTTATATTTTTGATGAAATATCTGTTCAAATGTTCCAAATATTTTTCAGTGGGGTTTTTTGTCTTATTATTGAGTTGTAAGAACTCTTTATATATTCTGCATACAAGTCCTTTATCAAATACATAATTCACAAACAGTGTCTCACAATCTATGACTTGTCTTTTCATTTTCTTCGTGGTGTCTTTTGAAGTGCAAAAGTTGGTCATTTCGATGAGGTCCAATGTCCGTTTTTTTCTTTTCTGTACCATGTTTTTGGTGCTGTAAATTTTCTCATTTTTTTTTCTTCCAGAGGTTTTACAATTTTAGCTTTCACATTTAAGAATGAAGCATTTTGATTTTTTTTTTTTAAAGTAGGCTCCATGCCCAGCGTGGAGCCCATCATGGGGCTTGAATTCACAACACTAATTGCAAGATCTGAGCTGAGATCAAGAGTCGGAAGCTTAACCGACTGAGCCACCCAGGTGCCCCTAGAATGATGCATTTTGAATTAACTTTTGTGTGTGCAATGTAGGGTATACATCTAAATTGTTTTGTGGGTGTTTTTTTTTTTTGCATATGGACATTCACTTGTCTCAGCACCTTTTGTTGAAAACAGTCACTTTTCCATATCAAATTGTCTTGACATCTTTGTCAAAAATTCGTTGTCCATATTTACATGGGTTTATTTCTAGACCCTTAATTCCATTTCACTCATCTATATACCAATCTTCATGCACGTGGCACATCCTTTATCACTGTGGCTTTATGGCAGGTTTTGAAATGGAAGTAGTGTGTGTCTTCCAACTTCGTCCATCTATTAGAAATTTGTTTTGACTCTTCTGAGTTTTGCACCTTTTCACATAAATTTTAGGATCAGCTTGCAGATTTCTACAAAGAATCCTGCAAGGAATTTGATAGGAGTTGCATTGAATCTACAAATCAGTTTTGGGAGAATTGCCATCTTAACAAAATTGAATCTTCCAATCCATGAACGTGGAACACTTCTCCATGTATTTAGATCTGTAATTTCTCTCAGCCCTAGTCTTGTGTTTCTTTTGTTAAATTTATTTCTATTTCATTGTTTTCAGTGCTATTATGAATGAACTTTTTTCCTAATTTCAGTAAAATTGTTCATTCCTAGTATATAGAGAAGACTGATTTTTGTATATTGATCCTATATCCTGAGATCTGGCTACTAATTTATTTACTTCTAGTAATTTCTTTTTGGATTCCTTAGAACTTTCTAAATATGGGATCACATCCTCTGCAAATAAAGACAGTTTTACTTTTCCATTCTAATTCAAGCATAATTTTCTTCTTTTTCTTGCCTTTTGCTGCACGACAGTACAGTGTTGAATAGCAGCGTCTTCTTCCCAAACCCAGTCTTAAGGAGAAAGCTGTCCACCCTACACTGAAATACGGTGTTTGCTGTAGGTTTTTTGTACATTCCTTTTTATCAAGCGTGTTCTTAGTTGAAAGATTTTATCATAAATGGGTATTGGATTTTGTCAGATTCTTTTTCTGCATCTATTAAAATGATCACATGTTCTTTGTCCTTCATTTTGTCCGTATAGTGTAACGTATCAATTCATTTTTGAATATTAAATCAATTTTGCATTCCTAACATAAATTCCTTTGTAGGCGTTTTAATATTTTATTAAGAATTTTTTGTCAATGTTCATAAAGAATACTAGCCTATACTTTTCTTTTCCGTATAATGTCTTTGCCCTTGGAGTCAGGGTGACACTGGCCACCTAAGAGCGTTGTCGTCCCCTGCACAGTCTGCTAAGACGGGGCCGCGGCCTGTCCTGTCTCTGCTAGGATGTCAGCTGTCAGCCAGATTCCTGGTGCTCTGCCGGCATGGTTTTCCTCTCTTGCTCTTCTCAAGACTTTGTCTTTGGGTTTCAACAGTTTAGCTGTGATATGTCTGTGTTTTATCCTAGTTGGGGCTCATCGAGCTTGTTGGGTCTGTAGTAAATGCTTTTCATCAAGTTTGGAGTGACTTTCGCCATTCTGTATTGATACATTCTTTCTGATCCTTTCTCTCCCTCCTCTTCTTTTGAGACTGTGTACCTATATGTGTACAGATGCATGGTGTGTGTGTGCACGTGTGTGCACGTGTGTGCATGTGTGCTTGACACTTGTGGTCTAACAGGTCTCTGAGATGCTGTTCATTTTTCTTCTTTTTTGGTCTCTCCAGATTGGATAATTTCTTTTGATCTGTCTTTAAGAGCTCATCTAGGGGTGCCTGGGTGGCTCAGTCATTGAGCGTCTGCCTTTGGCTCAGGTCATGATCCCAGGGTCCTGGGATCGAGTCCCGCGTTGGGCTCCCTGCTCGGCGGGAAGCCTGCTTCTCCCTCTCCCACTCCCCCTGCTTGTGTTCCCTCTCTCGCTGTCTCTGTCTCTCTGTCAAATAAATAAATAAATATTAAAAAAAATAAGAGCTCATCTAACTTAAAGATATTAAATACTTAAATGTGTCTTCTACTAAACCCTCTAGTGAATTTTTAAATTTTAGTTATTGCGTTTTTAAATTCCAGAATTTCCATTTGATTCTTTTAAGAATTCTGTTAATTGAAATTACTTAAGACATTTCATCACCCCTTCTCTTTAATTCTTTACGATGGTTCCCACTCAGCTCTTATCTGCTAAGTCCAGTATCTGGGTCCACTCAGAGAACTTTCTATTACCTGCTTTCCCCCGAATATTGGTCACACTTTTCTTGTTTCTTTGTCTGTCTTGTAATTTTTGGTTGAGAAATAATGATCTCATCAAAGGAACAAGTGTGTCATACCAATGCCAGAGGCTAGTGGTGGGGAAACAGGGTGAGCTGGAGAGGGTGTATGGGGACTCTACTTTCTGCTAGATTTTTCTCTGTACCCAAAATTGCTCAAAAAATCAAATCTCTTCATTTAAAACAAACAAACAAACAAACAAACTAGATGTCTTAGATTATATGTTGCAGCCACTTTGGATTCTGGTATTTGCTGATGAGGGTGATGGTTATTTGTTTAGCAGTTTCCTTGGATTGGATCTGCACACTGTTTCCTTGTGATGTACGCCCTGACCTCATGTACCTTCCCCTCCCTGGCTCTCTGACACCTGGCTTCCTGTGGGTTGCCCCTGGGTCTACACTGCTCAAGGCCGTGCAGTGGGGTTCTGCTCTCTGCCGACGGCTGGGAGCACAGAGATACGTTGAGGCAGCTTTTAGGGCTGCTTCCCTGAAACCCCCCTGTGGAGCCTCTGTGCCCACCGCCCATAAGGAGGCTGCTGGCCCCTCCCTTCTGACACAAGGTTCAGCGCCTGTTTGAGCACCCACTTCTCAGTTGCGCCTGTGCCCTGGGTCGCGTTCCAGAGCCCTGACCCGGTTGGTTGTAAGGCTCCTCACTCTCACTTGTGGGAAGCCCCAACTCTTGCACGTGTCTTTGAGCAAACCCAGATCCAGGAGGAGGCCTGTG